TCTTGCTAGAGGGGTCCTGTACGTAGCTGCTTTGCCACTGTGTGTACAGAGTGGACTAGATGGACCTTGGTTCTGATCCAGCATGGCTTTTCTTATGTTCTTACAATGGTTAAAATGGTGGATTAGGGCTTAAAACCAGGTCAAATGTCTACCTGGGTAGCTTTGTATTAGGCACCATCTCTCAGTTTAATATACCTCACAGGGTTGTTAAGAGGATGGATTTGTGTCAAAAACCACTGTAAGCTTTTTGGACAAAAGGCAGAAGATAAAACTAGCAAATAAATATAATTGCCTATTTCCAGTGTCACATATTGGCTGGACTAGGGAGACCAGTAATATTTTAATAGTTATCAAAACTAATGACTATGAAACCTTTTTCTTTCCAGTGCTTGAAAATATTTATATGCCTTTTCTTAGCATGGGGTGTTTGAAAAGTACAATATATTTTAGTGTATGAACACCAACTTACCTCCTTAGCATCATCAACACTTTCGAAGTAGACAAAGGCAAATCCTCTAGAACGTCGAGACTGCTGGTCATATACAATAGAAACATCAGCAATTGGGCCGTATTTGGAGAATACTTCTCTTAGATCCCTTTCTGTTGTATATAGGCTTAATCCAAATACACCAAGACAACAGTTTGGGTCAGGATTTGCCTGTTTAAAAAAAAAAGAGATTCTCATAAGATTCCAAGACATCCTATCAAATTATTAAATGCTGTGGAATACAGTACAAAAATGCTATTCCTTACTCAATGCAGAAAACTTTGTGTACAAAAGATCCCTTCCCTCCCCACACTGTAGAGTTAAACCTAAGGGCATCATCCTGCCTCTTTCCTGATGAGAAATTACAAGATAAAAAAGGGAAAGCAGAAATGTGTTCAACTCCAAAGAAGAGTCTGTTCTTTGGATATTTTTGGACTTTAAGTTTCAGTCATATTACAGCACATTAACCAATTCCAGAAAGGTGTAACTGCTATGATATTTCATGCCCAAGAGCTGTTTAGCATTTATACTACATAACATACTATACAGTATCTAAAGAGGCCTTTTTTGTTGGGGGGTGGGGAATGTTGAAAAGTGTATATTTGCTCTCCATAAAAGATCTCATGAGAGCAATTCTAGGCATTGTCTTGGGGGCAATAGCACTCTTGGAATTTCTACCTCTAAGGTCAGAGAGAGAGCACTGTGACCTCAGAAGGTACAGCTGGCTATCTGATTCTTCTTGCCCTGGCAGCTGGTATGGAAAGAGTCGCACCAGGTGGTCTTCAAGGCCAGAAAAAAATCAACTTTAGAGATGGGAAAACATGGTGTTCTGCAGTATGGAGAGGGGATGATGAAGTGGGGAAAGGAGGAGGAAGGCCAAGCTATGAGCTAACCCAAGCCTCTGCCAGCTTCCTCCCCTTTCCTCCAAAGTGCCATTGCCAGAAAGCTGATCTAGTGAAAAATACATGGGGGGAAGATGGGGAAGCAAAGAATGGCTCCTCTGCTTTTCCTAACCTGCACTGAATGATCAGAAGCATACAAGTCTGAAAACTCTGATGGTGCAACTGGGAAGATTGTGCCCTAAATTTATTTTTGCTAAGATAAATAGACGTTTTAAAATATCACATGTCTGGATTAATAGTGTTCAAACTTTTCTGCACTCAAGAACAAAATGATTAAAAATATATGGCTATCTAGAGAGCTTAACTATGAGCAGCAACTTGATAAACAATATACTTTCTATATCAGGGGTGCAGAACCTCCAACCCACAGTCTAACCTAGCTCATGTGGCCTTTTGAGGTTGCTCCAGCCAGTGAGACTTAAAGCTTCCATCTCCCATCTGTAATTTGTCGCTAACTGCTCAGCAAGCTTTGGCTATCTGGCAGTTTAGAAATGAAATAAATAAATACACCTGAGATAACAGTGAAGATTCAGTAAGGATAGCACAAATCAGCAGTGGAAGTTGTACTGTTCTCTCTAGCCTCAGATCAGTGAGAAAGGTGAGGGTAAGGGGGTGTTGGGACTTTCCTACACAGTATTATGCTTCTTCCAGGAAAAAAGGGAAAAGGGGTGATGTCAGGGAGCAGGACAACATCCCCTAACAACTGCCCTGTAGTGGACCTGATGAGGCGCAATCTGGGTTCCCCCAGCCCCAAACAGTTCTGCACCCCTGTTTTATAAGTGACAAATCCTTATAAAAGGCTCTAAAAATTAAGGAGACACAAAGACTTTATAGAGCAAATCTTAGCTTAAAGGATTCTGAAGCAATAGAATAATTTTGAAGATACAAGAAAATAATCAAGTCAAGTATTAGTGTACACGTCTTCCATTTCCAAAATAAAACATTTTGTACCATTTGTGCATTTTAACAACAATTATTTGTTCATGTCAACTTTAACTTTTACAAGATTTCTGGGTAATTTGAAAACTTTAGAACCTTCAAAGACACACACAGCTGCATTATCTCTGGTCAACTGCTGCCATCCCAGCCTTACTCTGTTGCCAACATGACGACGACGAGTAGACATAGGAGAATGGCTATGACTGTGTCGGCGCCGATAGTCGCGGCTGTAAGATCTGCTTCTTGATCTTCTGTGGGATCGAGAACGTGAACGTGATCTTGTATAATGTCTCCGAGAACTCCTCCTTGATCTGGATCTGAAAAGTATGAAAAACAAGATTGCCATGCTGACCCACAAGTGTTGAACACCTAGCTTAGAAAGTACCAGCAAAATTGGATATGTCCACCCATATTTCATATTTTATATGCAAGTAAGAAAAAATCACTTTTCTACCCAAAGGAACAAAAATAAACACACATATATGCACACATTCTAAATGGCCATAAAATGGCCATAAACATTCTAAATGGCCATAAAAACAGAACAAACAAGAACAAAACCAAACAATCTCAATAAGATCACCCATATTGAGGGCCTATCAAAAAAGGTCATCCTAAGGACCTGAAGGTCAATAAGGAAAAGGCCAGACAAATCTCCCATGAAAGGGAATTCGACAATCTAAATCAGGGGTCCTCAAACTTTTTCAGCAGGGGGCCAGTTGAAAGGTGCCAGTGCTGGGCATGGTGTATGCGGGCCGGTGGTGGAGTGGGGGTGCTGCATGTGTGCAGAGGTGGGGGTGGTCACCCGCACGTGGCGAGGCATGGGCAGGCAGGCGAGCGCAGCGAGGGAAGGGAGACAGGCTCACAAGGCAGTGGCTTGCTCGCTTGGAGATTGTTTTCTCTGAGCAAGCAAACTGCTGTCTCCCTGCGTGCGGGGCGAGGTGGGTGGCAGCGGGCGCGCACATGGGCACGGTAGGTCCAAATGGGCATGGCAGGCCGGCCCCGGCCCCCAGTTTGAGAACCCATGATCTAAATGGTTCAACAAAGACATACTGCACAGTCACCAACTACACTTCTGATGGAACTGGGATCAGGAGTAGAGCCATACCTGAAGGCCTCAGCAGGCAGGATATAATTATTTCATACTTGAACTGAAACTTGGGCGTTCAGTGTATTCTCGGTATTGGGTTGATTTGCTATTGATGTGGATAATTGAATTATTTCATTAGCTAATGACACTGAGGGTATACATGCAAAATTTCAAGTAAGCGTGATCATTAGTTCCCTAGTAATCCTCAGTGAAAGATGACCATAATGACTGAAGTGACAACGTTGAAGAAAATTGATCACCGCGCTGTGATTAAGTTGCTTACAAAACAAGGAAAAAGTCAAAAAATCATTCACAAAGAGATGGTGGCCATTTACCAGGACTCTGCACCTTCATTGTCTACTGTTCAAAAGTGGTCAAGTGAATTTAAAAGGGGCAGAGAAAGCACTGAAGATGACCCTCGCTCGGGCAGGCCGGTTACTGCCACTACGAAAGAAAATGTGAAAAAAATTGAGAACTTGTATTGGAAGATGCCCGAATAAAAATCAAAATGCTAGCAGAGATGACAAACCTATCCGTTGGTACCATATTTACTATTTTTCATGACCATCTTAACCTTTCAAAGGTCTGTGCAAGATGGTGCTGCGAATGCTCATGGCGCCTCAGAAACAAGTGCGAGTTGAGTGCTGTAGGGAGTTTTTAGAGCTCTGTGGTAAAGATTCATCCAGTATTTTTGACTGGATTGTTACTGGAGATGAAACTTGGGTTCATCACCATGACCTGAAAGTATGCAGGAGTCCATGCAGTGGCATAAAAAAGGTGTTGACCCTCCGAAGAAATTCAAAGTCACTCCATCGGCCGGAAAAATCATGGCCCCAGTGTTTGGGACTCAAACGGAATTTAATTGATCGAGTACACAAAAAAAGGAGAAACCATAAAGGCAGCATCTTATGCAACCACTCTGTAATTTAAGAGAAGCAATTAAAGAAAAAAGGTGGGGAAAACTGACCGCAGGTGTGTTGCTTCTTCACAACAATGCGCCCGTTCACATAGCGTGTGTTCTGAAGGCTGCTGTGTAAGACTGTGGTTTCGAAGAAATAAACCACCCACCCTATAGCCCGGACCTGGCCCCCAGTGACTACTACCTATTCCCGAATTTAAAAAAAGATCTTTGTGGAAAGCGATTTTCCAATGATGAAGAGCTCAAGGCAGCAATTAACACACATTTTTTAGATAAGGAGGAAGGGTATTTTTACAGGGAATTGAAAAGTTAATTTCTAGATGTAATAAGTGTATTGAAGTTATGGGGGATCACATTGAAAAATAAAAATTATTTCAATTTATCATTCCTTTTTCTTCATGCTGATACCGAGAATACATTGAATGCCCCTCGTATTGATTGTTACAGCAATAATAACCCAAGTGAATCACAGCAATTTTCAAGCTAAAATGTACTGGTGAAGATTCTTTAATAAATGGTAAGACAATGACATTTGCTGCCTGAAGCAAAGAACAAGATGGTGTCCTCTCCCATTTTATACAAAAGGGAATATATATAAAAAAAAAGAACTGGACTGGGAGAAGAATCTATTTTCAATGTTTATGGGTCAGCAGCTGAAGGATGCAAGCTAACTTATGGGATGATGAACAGGATATACAGTGCACAGCTCTCTCTCTCTGCTGCCACATACCAAAATCTCCAATGTTTTTCACCTCTGGAAATGCTTCACTCTGCCTAATGTAGGGGCAGTCCTGCCAGCAAGGTTTTAGCTAAGCTGTTTTTATTCCTTTCATTTTTGAATTTGTATTATATTTTTGCTACTTTATCTCACCTTTACACACACACTGGAAGATAATTTTGAGTTTGCAATGAAGTACAGATTAGAAAGAGTATTTACATAAATATTGCAATTGTCCATCCTTGCACATTTCTTGCTGTAGAAATGCAAGGAACTATTTATTAATTTTAATTAATTCTTAACTATTTCAGAGTTAGTGGCACACACAACAAACTCCAGCCTCTGTATATTGAAAACTGTACTTCAGACACAGCAGATTTCCATGTGTCCTAGCTTGGTTTTGATCACACGGACTGGGTCTAACCTTGCTTTCACCAGGCAAGCCAAGATGCATCAATTGCATCAGCTAACCAGGAATCCCCTGGAGAGAATCAGCATTAGAATACTGAACATTCAAATTTTAAATGGAGGGTTGCATGTGAGCAGAAGTATGTTTCTTGAAATTCTTCACCTAGTAATGCATGTCATTTTGAATCAGAGGAAGATATTAGAAACATAGAGTTAGTCAGAAGGGGCCTCCCGGGCCATCTAGTTTGACTCCCAGCTCCAGCCGGCTCTGTTCATGACATGTGTACCATATGCATGCCCAGCCTATCCTTGAATCCCCTTACCGATGGGGCTTCAACCACCTCCCATTGAAGCCCATTCCGTACCCTTGGGGTCCGAAATGTTAGGAAGTACTTCCTTCCAAATTGAAACTTGGTTTCCTGAGCTTTGCTCCATCGGAATGCGCCCTGCCTTCCTGCACAGGAGAAAACAGGACTGTACGCACCTCCGTGAAACACACCCTCACGAACCTGTATGTTGCCAATAGATCCCCTCGGCGTCTCCTCTTCAACGAGGCTGAAAAGACTCAGTTCCCTCAGTCTCACCTCATATGACTTTCCTTGCAATCCGGCCACCATCCTTGTAGCCCTATGCTGGACCAATTCTAAACTCACTTTATACTTCCTGTAATGTGGAGCCCAGAACTGAACACAATACTCCAGTTGCAGGTACACCAGAGTAATACCTTTCTTGATCTAGAAGCCACGCTTCTGGCTATGCAACCAAGGGTGGTGTTTGCCCTCAACTACCGTGTCACACTGCTGACTTGCATTTAGCCTGCAGTCGACTAGTACCCTGAGACCCCTTTCATAGTATTCCTATGCCCCAAGTGCAAGACCTTGCACTTGTCCACACTGAAGACCATCCTATTGTCCCCTGCCCACTTCCATAGTCTGTCCAGCCCTGGAGGACCCCACTTGTCATTGGCTGCCATCCCAATGATTCCCCACTAAGTTACCCTCTGCTTTCAGTCTGTCAGCCATGCCCTAGACCAATGCACTATCTGATGGATTATCACAAAATTCTTCAATTTCTCAACCAGGATATCATGTGACACTTTGTTAAAGACCTTGCTGAAATCCAGGTAAACCACATCCACTGTGTCCCCTTTGTCTGGCCACCTCAAAAACCTTGTCATAGAATTCCACAAGGTTTGTTTGACAGGTCCTGTTTTTGTGGAAGCTGTGTTGTGTGGCCGCCAACCCTCTCTTCCTTATCTAGCTTTACTAGATCTCCCGCTATCATGAGCCTTTCCATTGTCTTTCCTACAACGGACATAAGGCTAACCGGTCTGTAATTCCCCATGTCCCCTCTACTGCCCTTTTCAAAAATTGGGACCGCTTACACCATCCTCTAATCCTATGGAACCTCATCTGTTCTCCATGAAGCCTCAAAAATGGAGGCCAATGGGCATGAGAGAACCCCCACCAACTCCCAAAGTACTCTTGGGTGTAACCCGTCAGGGCCCTTCTGAATTATTGCAGACGTGGTATTAAAATCACTTCTGCAATAATTTTTAGTAATGCCCAACCTGACTACCAATTCATATAAGTATCAACAATGAGAAGATACGAGAGGAATCTTGTAGAATTAATGCAACAGAACAGATAGAAGTGAATAGATGATTCAGCCAGAAATTATTCCTTGCTGAAATGGCATCTTACTGCATTCTAGGCAGATGTACAACCTGATCACCTTGCCTGTAAATCTTGCACTACAACTACAATTAATACTGATTTTAGGACTCCTCTCCTAAATTCTCCTTAATAGTAAGATATTTAGATTGCCACTTAATATTTGAAATAAAAACTAAGTTCAGTTTGGACAGGCTTACCGTGATTCAGATCTTGACCTAGACTTTGACCTAGATCGCCTTGAACCCTCTTTGGACCTTGATCTAGCAGGTGAGTGCCTTGGAGATTTGCCAGAACCATGAGCACTTCCACTTCTGGAAGCGGAACGGGACTCCTGCATGTAGAAAATATATCGTTTAGCCTGAATACAACTTCTCTAGTACTTTATTCTAAATAAGCTCTGGTGAAAAATATCAAAGATCTATGTCTCCATTATGTGTCCGGGCAGTTGCCATTAGAACTGCCTAGATTATTATTTTTGCCCTGTTAAGCACTTTTTAAAAACCCTGCATGGTTTTTTCTATTAAACAAATAATGCATGCATGTTTAGCAAAATATACAGGACACATAAACAGACTAGTAATTACTTAGCGTAGTGCTTTCAGATTCCAGATTACTTCTTATCTTAACTTCATTTTTATTTCTTTTCTTCATTCTTCCGTTTCAAATTCTGACTTCTTTCATCTTCCCCACTTCACACAAATTGCTCAATATTCTATAAGTGGGACTTCTGGTCTGATAATTAGCATGCATTCACTTTCTTTTTTTTCAAATTTCAGCTTCACTTATTCCTGAGCTTCAAATAATTCTCATTTATAAAACTTGTCAAATGGCGACTTCCGCATTTTCCTTCTTCAACATTAACCTTAATAAAAAAAGAACAGGATGAAGAATATTTAAAACTCCAGGATAGATATCTAGTGCCAAGACTGAAACTAGAAAAAATGCTATGTGTTTTCACTGTTTTTAAAGCAGATATGCAGTTCTAGTACTGATGTGACTCCAAGTTTACAACTATTTTAAAAAATCTCAATTCAACTGAAAATGATTGACCAGCTATAAATCTGATAGTTATGCCTACTTTAAAATTAAAATGTGAAAACAGCCAAAATTAAATCTTAGTAGACCTTCACCGGACAATTTCAAGAAGTTGCAGCTCTTCTTCACAAAGAAATTTAGAAGTTAGTAAAACGTCCAAAAGTCACCAATCTGCATACCTCTGTACAATTTTTGTATTTCTTAATATACAGAAGTAAAAGGCATACTAAGAGCTTAGCAAAATTAGTTTAACATACTTATTTCCCATTAGCAACACTATGATTTGTAAACTGTAATAGCACATACCCTAACTTCTATAGTGATGGAGAAATCTTTCATGTTACTGCAACAACTTTGCAGTATTTTAAGATAATACAAAAATTTTGATTAATGTTGACATATAAGCCAAACTAAAAACATAAGTCTTTAATGTTTGCCATGCTCTAAATCCATTTGGAAAAGAATTTTGTGGGTTTCCATATTAAGAATGAAGAATTTCTTCTGTAATAAATTTACTTTTGACCTTTTTATGTATAATCCCAGTATCCCAATTCAGAAACATTAGCACTGATAATACAGTAATACTCTACTGAGGCAGTTGTTGATACTTAACACACTAGATAAACAAACAGCTTTAGGCCAAATCTTTAGAAAGGGTGTTCAATGCATCACCACATGCAATTAGTTTGTACATATTTAAGTTAATTCTTAAGATAAAGTTAAGAATATTTACACACAACAAACTTTTTTTTTAAATTGAGTAGGGCAGAAAGGGGTAGGGATAAAAACCAGTCTCTCTTTTAGACAGAATTGAGTACTGAAAATGGTAAGATTTATGTACTATTATTAACTTACTTACTTTCATTTACATGCCACCTACTCCAGCAGTCTCATTAGCCTGTCTACAGATAATAAGCAAGGTGCTTTCTTAGCTAAGCACAACACCTTTCTCTTCCCACCTCACCTGCAAACCACAAGGATCTCCATTCCACAAACATGTGGTTCTGTGTATATATACTTATTTTATTATGCAGTTTTATTGGGGTGATATTTTAAGATTTGTGAAATGAATATGAAGCTAGAAACTGATCTCATCTGAGGATAAACATTTATAATTTTAAAACCAGAAGTAGTAATTTTGAAATGCTTTAATATTTTTAAAAGTTCATTATATTATGCATATATGGTTTTAATTTCCCTTTGATACTTCATATATTTTCTAAACTGTGGTGCAGGCCTGCCCACTAAACTAAGTATTATTACTCTGTTTCATTCTTACATCCAGGCCTGGCTATACTGTAAACTTCTCGCACCCTTTCCATTTTATCTAGAGAAATAATAGCTCTAAAACAGTCCCATATTTCTTATGACCAGAAGCCATATAAAAACCTATGAGGTTAATTATGGGAATACTGGACCATGCACATTAACCTAGTTTGTCATCTTCTTTCCAGTGCTACTTCTCCCTCCTTCACTTTGCCTTGGCCCATTCCCACCTTCACAAAAATGAAGCAGTAAATAAAAATGAAATGCCCATGACAGGTAAAATGGAGTCATGTATGGGGGTCACTGAGCAGAGGAGTCTACTTGCATCAGGTGAAATTACCTATGTTTGGCAGGTAAATGTTCAGATTTGAAGAATTATTAAACTGGTTGTTCGTTTATAGAAAAAGCCTCCTTTAACTCAGTATATCTGGTAGAAGGCATTCATTTCATGTATAGGAAATTTAATATTGATCAAGTTATTAAAATATATTGGTATTTTCCATTTCAAAAATATTTTACAATCTTAGGTAAACATCCATTGAAATATTTATGTCAGCATCCTAACATTTACTTCTCAGGTCATGAAGAAATTTCCCAATAACTATCAGTCCTTGCCTCTGGAAGGTTCTGTGCACTTAACATTAAAAAGGCACATGGGTTGCATGAGCTAAGATTTCCTTATATGCTCATAGATGATATGCAGGTTCTATTTAGCTGCAAGCAGACAATTTGTTAAAACAACCAATTAGTTGCAAGCTTGTTCAAGAAATATGAGTTGGATACTGATTTTAGATAAGTTATTTACATCATCTTGATTTAAACAATTTCAAAGTTTAACTGTGTCAAATTAGGGGAATAATAAAAAGGCAAAATTTGAGTTCACTACGGTGGGCTGATTTGCATGGAACTTCTAAGGCATGATTTAACACCATGTGGACAACTTTTGGCAAACTGAAATGTCAGGCTCACATGCTGTCCCTTTTCTTCCCACATGGTTGAGAGGATGTCTTTGGCAGTTTCATTTTTAAAGAATCCTGGTTTACTGTTGTGTTCAAACCAAAAAGCCTACTTTAAAATAAAGTCTGGTCAGTTGCTAAACAAGCCACATTTAAATCATGTGTTCAGAAGCTGGTTTATTTAGGGAGCAAGCCTATGAACCCTAGATATTATCTGAGTGATATCAGGAGAAAAGGGGGCACTCCAGTGGGCAGGAATGGGAGGAGACTGGAGAGGCCCAGATATGAGCTATCCTGAACCTCATCCAGTTTCCTTTCCTTTTTATCACTATATTTAAAAAAATGCAGAGTGGGAGCATTACTGTAAGATATAGCTTCTGCCTCTCCTACTGTGCACTGGATGATCAGAACTCCAAGTCTTATTTTAAACCATGATTCCTGGTTTGAATGTAACACCAACCTGGTGTTTTCAACTGCATGAGAAGGGAAGAGTACATGAATTTGACACTCCATTTAGTCAGACTCATCTACACAGAAATCAGTATCAGTAACTAATCAGTAATTAGTTGATCTGATTGAAAAGGCAAGCAACTTTTTTAAATGAGTGCCTTTTTAGAGGTAGAAGCTTTGGCAGCAAAAATTTCTAAGGAAGATGCAGCAAACGTAATTTTCTATGCAGAGATCTTTTCAGTGGTATCAGGACCAAGAATTATTCTCAGCAGTTCCCAGGAATCCAACCAGTACTATTTAAATAAGGAAAACCTGTGAAGTAAAATATTAAAACTCTCTGCCACAGAATTATACTAATGCTGTTCTAGTTAGATTTCCTTTTGAAAAATATGCAGAGGATGCCACTCACCAGGCTCTTCTCCTGTGCAAGCCATACAGAAAATGACTAATGCTGTGCAGAACTGTGGTTGGATAGAATACCACCCGTGATTTAACATGGGATGGGTAACCATAAGAACGTATAAGTGGCTTCGAGAAGCAACATTAATGTAAGATCACAGCATTGTACTTCTGTCAAGTACAGAAGTACAGAACAATGACTTGTTCTGATTGAACAAGAAAATATTCCAACCTGTTCTATACCCTCCTCTGCTCTCATGACCTGGGTGAGCATACCAGCTTACACAGGCATTTTTTCTGACTGGTAAATAGGGACAGACCCTTTTTTCAGTCTTCTTGCTTGGAGACCATAAATAAGATAGATAAATGCTGTGGAAATGGCCACATTCTGGATAACATAACCAAAGTACATAATGTGTATCCACTCCTATGTTGCCATTCGGTTCATGCATAAAGCTTTCTTCTGTTAGCAACCAAGTCCCATTCTGTCGCAAATTCTTAAAAGGAGAACAATCTTTGTTTTTTGAAACTGCAAAGGACATACAAACTCATGTATTCACATACAAAAGCAAAGCAAGAGCCATATCATATTGATCAGGTAGCTAGGTTTAGCAAACATTTTAAGAACATGGAGATTTGAGAAACATATGCCTAACAGTAAGGACAACCCTGCAAGGTAGAGGTACTAATAGGATCTCCCCTTCAGCAGGCATATGTCCCATCTTCAATTCTTAGCCAAACCAATATACCTGTCTTTCTGCAATTCTTGAGGGGTACATATGACCACAACCAGATTTGTTTGAACCATAAAGAACACTTAGCACCTTCATGAGTGAAACTTCAAACATGATGCTGTAGCAAGTTAATCTTCCAATCTCCTTCATTACATCTGGGAGATGCCAATAATTCCTTAAGGTGATTAGCTGCATTATATGAAGACTTCCATGTTTAACACACAAAGACAACCTGCACAACTTTGCTTTATAATGCAGAGGCCACAGAAGCTTCAATATTATTTTTTGGGTCAGGCCTCAAATTCCCTAGATCCACAATATATATTGCATTTTATATGGCAACAACCCCCAGTTTAATATAAGAGCTGAACAGTCAAGATTGCACACAACCTACAGTACTTTCTTACATAAAATTAACTGCTACCCGTTCTAATTCTCACATTGTGTTATTTGTGTGCCATTTTTAAAATAGTGCTTAAACTTCACCCATCTGAATTTCCAAAATTTTGAGCATTCCACCCAACCTTGACACTTCATTGGGTTTACAATGAGAGGATGACTTTGCCAGTTTCACTTTTAAATTCCAATATTCCTTAATTATCCTTGCCCCACTTGTTCAGTGCCTATGATTCCCTTCATATATAATTTCTTCCCTATGTTGCTTACATAATGTTCCTCCTGTTATAACCTCTGCAACATTTACTAATCCATACTCAGCTTACTTTTCTGCTGGTGGTTTTCAACCACACTAGGTGAAATCTTGGCCTTCAATTTTTATAGGTCTATTAACAACCAAGTAACCATGTCTTTTACGTTTTCAGTGGAATCCTCCCATCCAAACTCCCCCATATCTGAGAGTCTGAAGAATGTTTGAATACACCCTAGTTAAAATACATAACAATTCTAGTTTACTAGGAAGTACTGACACTTTAATTATGCATAAATTTATTCTCATATGACCCAAATAGAAACAATTAGTATCAGCAAAAGAACTGTTCCTAATCATATTTTCTTTGAAGTGTGCCACTGAAGCACCTTCTAGTTCTGGGAGTACACCTACCCACATATGAATACAAATTTTACTTTCTGAAGTTACCCATATTATGTCTATTCCATCTCAGACAACGAAACCATGAGTCACACACATTTTAATTATCTGGAAGATAAACCTTGGCTTAATAGTCTGAAACACACTTAACAGTCTGTGAGCCTAAAAACACAGCCAGATGAAGAGAATCCCCCCCACCCCTGAGAATGACAAACTTTTCTTGAAAATGACTGTATATCAAGCAAGGGGAACAAAGATTTAAAAATCCACAAAGTACTTCACATTGTAGTTAGCTCCAGTGCTGGGGTATTGATGTAAATCAGGGGTACAGAACCTAATTTTGCCCTGAAGGCTGATTTCCATTTCAGAGAATTAGTCAGGATCTAGAGTCCAGTGGTGGCCGGGCCAAAGGCAAAAGGGGTGGGGCATCCCACCCCCAAAATCAGCATATCTTAGCTTGAAGTTCTTATTCCAGTAACTAAGCTTTAGGAAAGACACTTTGTATCTTTAAGAACATGGGAGGAAAAACCAACACAAACGCCAGGAAACTTCCAAGAAACTGATGGCTAGAGAAGGGATTTGGCCTTCTGAGGAATCCCAGAGGGCCAGACTAGGACTCCTGGAGGACCAAATTTGCTTTCTTGTTCCAGAGGTTCTGCACCCCTGATGTAAATGCACAATGCCGTGCTAAAAGAAAGCCATGCCTACTAGAAAAGGATATTTGGATCACAATACATAGGGAAGGCTGGCACACTAATTTACAGTTGACCATTAATCATGGTGTATGCTAAATGGCAGCCATCATGCAGTACTAACCCAGATGCCAATTTATAGCTCAGTCCCAAACACATGCATATCCTTAAAATCACTCAGAACCAGGATGACATGGAAACAAAGACAACTATACTTTACATTCAGTCGTTAGACAGAATCCAATATAAGCAGGACACCAAGGGCCAATACACAGCAGGAAAAAGATGTGCATGTAAGCATGTCAGGGAGGTTCAGTCAATCTTCCTTTCTCATAATACCAGATCCTGGGATCATTGAAAGAAGCTGAATGGTGGAAGATTCAGGACAGACAAAAGGAAGTATTGCACACAGCACATATATAGAATTCACAACCACAAGATGTGGTGACAACCCCCAATCTGGATGGCTTTAAAAGATTAAACAAATGCATGGAGACGAGGGCTATCAATGGCTACTAGTCACAATAGTTATAACTACTTCTAGGATCAGACACAGCATGCCTCTGAATACCACCTGGCAAGAAACAGCTCTGCTTTGGGCTTCCTATTGGCATCTGGTTGGCCAACATGAAAAGAAAATGCTGACTAGATGAGACTTTGGTTTGATTCTGCACAGCTCTTACTGTGCATTTCACTTTAGCCTTCATGTGCATACACCTGTATGATCCATGTAACTGGAAATGCATCTGGTATGTGCACCCATTCCACAATAAACTATTCTGTTTATGCATTCCTAGAATACAACACTGAGGCACCCCAAAGAATCAGTGTCATTGTATGCATGGCTAAATCTGTTCACTTGGCCCTTCCTTACCCACTAGGTCTACCTTTAATCAGGGGAGATAACCACTATATTAGGAGTGGATTCAGAATTCACACTAGTAAGGGAAACAAAGTGCCCAAATGAGAAGAGTTCCATTCCTTTTTCGCTCAACAGCTCAGACAGATCAAAAAGCTGAACAGATAAGGATAAGTGAGATGTATTTTTTGGTCAGATTTTGAAGTCGCCACAGAGCATTATTAGTTCAAGCTGGACTTTTAAGAATTCCTAAAACCAAACCTCACTGACCCAGCTGGCTCACTTATGCTTGGGTAACAGTTATGGTGATTCAATGAGTATACTTCCCACAACTCCTCTAAGCCAGTGACACTACCAATGCAATGAGAGGGACTGGGCACTATTGAACCAACTTCTATTCACCTTTTGAACACCTTAAACATGACCAAGACAGCTGGCATCTGTCTAAAATTATCAGTCTTGGGGATTTTTTTGTTTGTCAGAGAGTCAATACATATTTGGCAGTGGCCCCAACATTATTTCTTTCAGTTATTTCACATAATGCCAATTAACATATCTAAATTGCACAGCCCTTCTCTGGTAGTAGCCATGTTATTCTGTATAATACAGCAAAATAAGCTAGTATTCTGAAGAATTTCGATTTTATTTTTTCCATTTTATTTTCTTCCTTAAATCTACCCCTATCCCATCTCCTTCCTATTACACTTAGCAAAATCTGACTTTGATAACATAACTTTGAGCAGAGCAAGGTTGTTTAAAATTAAAATGGTGTTATGCCACAACCTCTTCATATATGCATTATGAAATATAGCAGACTTATAAAGCAGATCCATTTAAGCTACTGCCATGTAGAAACACCATGATATGCTAGATAGGAACTATGTATACGCTAAGGCATTTCTTCCTTATGCTCTTCTGCCTCTGCATGAAATTCAGTCATATGATAATCAGCCTAAACTTCCAACACATGCACCTAAAGAGCTGTTATGGCATGAAATCCGAATTCCAACATTCTGAAAACTATTGATTCAATAGCTTGGAAATTCCTCAACACGCTACTCTAGCTGTAGGCTGTGAAGTACAACTATGCAGTAACTATTTGGAGAAATGGCTCAGGATTGATCTTGAAAGGTCAGTTTTTAAGTCCGATTATGCAGGAGGTGCTATTACTTTCCACACATAGGAAAAGAAACTAGGGACAAACAGCCTTTTAATACGAAACTACGAAAAGCAGTCTCCAAACTCTTATTAGCCCCTCTGGGATTAAGTATTGGAGCGAAGCCCTGACATTTTTCAGGGGGAAACGAATACGAAGATGCTTCGCTAGCAAAGGCAGACCTAGAGCAATGCCGAAAACCCTGCGGCGGCCATTTTGTCCCCGCAGCGGCGCATTCATTCGGGTCACCAACCCAAGATGGCGCCGGGCGAGGGGCTCACCATAGAGCTCCACGTCAGAGCGCGGCCTCTTTGCAGGAAACGGAGGGCCACTTTCCCGCGCCAAACCGACACGCAACTCTCGCTGAAGGGGCAGGCAGACGGGTGGGATAGCTGGGCCATCTCCTTGCGCAGAGGCCCGTTTCCCGCCTCGGACCCTTCCTGTTTCCTTTGTATTTTCATTAACCTTCTCTAGCAAGGCAGTTCTTTTCACACCCGGCCCGGGGGGGGGGGACTAATTTTTAAGAAGGCCGAGACTGCGCGGTGTTCCCCCCTGCACCAAGCAAGCCAGGTAAGCGCAGCTCGCTGACTCTGTGTATTACCCGCTCGCCGTAGTTCTGTTCCCCGCTGTCGCTCATCCTTTCGCCTCAGTGCCGTGGACGCCGACCGCGGTTGCTCGCAGCACCAAACCGTCTCCTAACGAGCCTTCTCTGCAGAGGAAGTGACGAAACTCCGGAAGCTCCGCCTCTAAATCTGAACGTTCGGCGCGTCCGAGTCTCCACCTTCCTTTCTCCCAGGCGGGAGCGCTTTCCTTCCCCGTCCAGAAGCGGGGTGGGATAGGTGCTGACTTTGATGAGCAAGGGTTTTGTTTTCCAATTAACTTTCTACCGTAATGGTTCTCCTGGGTAGTTGAAGCCACCTCATGTGTATGCGTGGGCAGATGGAATTATTTGTCACTAGGTTCTTTGCTATTAATATGATTTTGAGTTCAGTTGTTTGCCATTTGACAGGGTTTCCTTTCGAATTTTCTTAAAAAATTGATTCCTTTGGTTCTCCAAATGATTTGGTATAATTCAAATCTTTGTCAAAAACTGAAATCCCACCTTCCTGAAAGCTACATCTTTCTGCCAAAGTATGCATATTAAAAACACTTGAATATACAAACGTGTATCAATTTCAGCATGCTGTGTGCATAAGATTTCCATATCAAATCATGTAGGTATGAAAGCTTCAGCAAGGTTGATGCATCATGTGCCGTCAAGCCATTATTCTGAAGAAAGAATCCATACAGTGAGTGTTGTACCAGGGCTAAGATAGGAGTTCAAGTCCCTACTCATAAAGTTCATTGGGTGGTCTTAGGCTAACCATTAGCCATCTGCTTTTCCTGATTCACAGGGTTGTGGGAAGGAGGGTGATTCACAAGGAGGGGAAGAATTATGTTGCTTTATACTCCTTAAAGGATTGTCAATTGAAATGGAGTAAGTAAAAATTGTGTGGTGCTTTATAAAATTGTCAAAATACAGTGGTACCTCAACTCATGAATGCCTCACGACCAAATTGGGTCGCAAACAGAAATTGGCAAAATTTTGCCTCAGGTTGCGAACTCCATATTGGGTGGCGATCGCAATCGCGGCTGTCTTCCCTGCATGAGTGCGACCGCAATCGCCCCATTCTTTCCTGCACGATCATGCTCGAGGGAGGGGGAGATGGCTGCGATTGCACCTGTCTTCCCTGCATGAGTGTGACCACAATCACGACCGTCTTCCCTGCACAATTGTGCTCAGGGTGGGGGGTGGGAGATGGCCGTGATTGTGGTTGCACTTGTGCAGGGAGATGGGCATGATCGTGGTTGTGCTCATGGGGGGGGGGAGATGGCCACGATTGCGCCTGTGTTCCCTGCCTGCCCGCACTGGTGTCCCCCCCCCCCAAGCACGATCCCTATCGCACGATTATTGTTTGGACTCTCCCTCCAAACAACAACCTCCCCCCACCTAAGTTAGTGTTCTCTACTGTACTGTACAGTACTTTGTTACTTTGTTGTTCTTTGTCACTTTATTTCAAATTTTTGTGATTAAAAAAATGGTTACAGAACGGATTAACCTTATTTACACTGAACCTTATGGGGAAATTTGACTTGGGTCACGACCAGAGTCCTGGAACGGATTAAGTTCGTGAGCCAAGGTACCACTCAGTGAACTTGACAATAGTAGTAGGCTGCCATTACCATCTCTGTATCTCATAAGATGCATACCATAAGAATCATTCTGGATCAGACCAAAACTTTATCTAGTGCAGCATTCTCTTCTCACAGTGGTCAACCAGATTATTATGGGAAGCCCACAAGCAGGACATGACTAGAGAAGCACCCTCTCATGTTCCCCAGCAACTGATACTGAGTCATACTGGCAGTGATACTGATAGTTGCATTCTCCATAAATTGGTCTAATTCTCTATTAAAGCTGTCCACATTGGTAGTAAATTCCATAGTTTAATCATCTTAATAATTACTTATACCGTGCTATATAAAGGCTATAACCACAGAAAATACTAAGCACAGTAGTCATGAAGAAAAGGAAAAGCTGTAAGCAAAACAAAAGTCTGTTTTGGCAGATAATCCTAGATCAACAGTACAATATTCTATGTCTTCTCTGAGATAATTTCTTATGAGGGTTTATTTCCAACTTAGTATAGGATTGCAGCCCACCAGTAGCAGATAGCAAGCACCCACCTCATGGAGCATTTGTCTCTCTTCTGGTAAAATATGCCAAAAGCACAGGATATGCAAGAGTAAAACAGGCATGGAGGAACAAACTTTTTTCACGCCAGGGCCGGTCCCTAGATTGAATCTGACTGGGAATCCTGTACAAGGAGAACAGACTCTCATATCTCACATTTCAGTCACATAAGGCAATGTTGAATCCATCAACAACCAGCTCCTGCATGGTCCGAACAGCTCTTTTAGCCTGCCCCCTCCCTCTGCAGCCAATTTAACCAAGAAATCACCCCCTCCGAGTTTCTTGATAGGCCAGCCTGTCGAGCAATATCCCATCGTGGTGGTCTCCCTCAACCCTCTCCACTGCCTTACAATCACCAGCATCTGTTCATGGACTTTGAGACCCTTCCCCTACCCCCACAAAAAATACACATCTAAAAAACCTGGGTGAGCAATGACTGAAGCAGGGCACTATCCTGAACTTTAAAAGTTTCTATCTACCTCTTCCCCCAAGTCCCAACCTGAAGCCTCATCAAAATAGAGTAAGAGATTGGGATTCCTACTTAGCAACAAGAACATGTGTGGTAAAGCCAATTCTGTTACTGAACACCGCTCTGTATGTAGATGATCCTGAAATGGAAAGATATTTGTAGTGTTACCAACCACTCATCCAAGCCAGAATCCTGGGCCATGGACAGTCCCATAGCAGGTATAATACCTGTCATTAAATGAGCTCCAAGTTGGAAACTCTTCACTTGTTGCAAAACTGTCTGCATGGACCGTGTAAGGATGCAGGAGCCAGCCTGGAGAAGTAAATCAACAACTTCACACAGCATTCTGGTCATTGCTGGAAGCCTGGAAAGAAAGGTGTTGTGGTTTGGATTCCTTTCTTGTGGGAGAGCAACCTTCCAAGAGCAAAAGGAGACCTGGAGAAGTGTGGGGAGAACCATAAGAAATGCATGCATGGTGAAGAGGGAGTGCTGCCACTTCAGTACTCATGCCTCGGCTTCTGCCAGGGGAAATGCAGTGACTGTAAGAATACTTACCTTGGAGGTTGCAAAGAAGCTCTGTTACTGTTGAATTTTTGCTTTGTCAGTCCTGATGATAATTTTTTGCCTTTTTTCTCTGTTTTGCAGAATAAATATAAATTGTCAGCTGTAGGTTTGATCCAGCTGCCTTTACACCTTCAAAGCTGCCTGTATTATTGCAAGTATTGACTGAGGCTGAAAATTGTAAATATAAATATTTAATATCAGTAAATAAATATGATACATAGGGTCTCAAGTAAAAATGGAATAATGAACTGAAGCATTCCATATTGCCCAACCAATGGGGTGCATCACTAGTATCTATTTCACATGGGGTTTTGGATCTCAGGCTATACTTAATTCAGCAAAAATTGATGTTTCAAGTATATTGTTGGAGGTGTGATGCTGTGAATGCTTCTCTTCTCCATTTGTTTTGCAATGCCCAGTGGTATTGGGAAGAAGTAATAATTTGGCCAAATCTTGTGGAGGAAAGTTCTTTAATATTTAAGGATAAACATGTTCTTTTGAATTACCTGTCCATCTCTTGGAATGTAAAGCAATGAATTTTCTGCACTATCTCGACAGCCAGAACACTAATATTACAACATTGGAAGAATAAACGGCCACCTGTAATTATAGAATGGGTGGAGGTTTTAATGAAACTTTGATTGTTTAAAGGGTGATCTTTAGGTGTGACTTAGAAATGGATAAATATATGGATTTGAGGGTGCCTTTGTGGAAGTATTTGCCTAATTATTGTGCAATAACAAAAGTATGTTCTGTTATATATTAACATATAGGGATATACAGCATAAATGCAACCCATGCTATGTATCTTTTTCTTAAATACTAGTCAAAGATTGTTCATCTTGTCTCTTCACCTCTGGTGTTTGCATCTTTTAATGGTGTGGTTTGGTTGGTTTTATATTGCATAATAAAAAAGAAAAGAATCTATCTGCCTTGTCAAAGCAGTGACCCACTGCTGCCCCTTTTAAAATGGAACTATTTTTCTTTGTAATAACCTCAAGAGTTTCAGCATAACCCAGTCTTCAGCTTCAGGAATAAATCAGTTGAGATTCAGTGAAAGCCCTGTCTTTCACATTTCTTACTTCTGAAGTTTTTACCAGCTTCAGTTTGTAGCCTCTTACTCTACTCTGTAATCCCTTTTCTGTTCTATGCTTTTTATATGTTTCAATTTGGTCTCTTTTTAAACTGTATTTGGTTAGGTGCTCCTCCTATGTTAATAAAATGGCTAGGGAAGAGCAGGAAATTAGCAGAACATTGAAATTGCCTGAGGACTTCCATCTAAGAACTGATAAATGATATCCAGAGTCATTTAGGGCAGAATCCTATGGCCTCCCAACATCGTCTGGTCCTGTGACCATGGAGCTGGGACTCTGAAGACCGAGTTCACTGCCTGTCCTTTTGCACAACTAGTAGAGTAAAAACCATACTGGCTTTTCCACTCCCCACATTTGTGTCTGGGGCTAACAGAGGTAGGCAGTGATGAGCTGGGGAATGTGGGAAGGGTAAGAGACCAGGGCCATAGAGAGACACCAGCTCCAATTGCTACCCCAGCCTCCTCCCAGCACTAAACCTAGATGGCCAAAGTTCCCCTGTAGAGCAAATACCTGCTGCAAAGCATGGCAGGTACCATAGAGATTGCCACCACACCTCATGCCAGGCATAAGATACACGTAAGTCTCCGAGGTAATCTTGTTACGTTGCAGTTAAATCCTGCCTTTTTCCCTCTAGCAAGGGACCCAATGCATCTTACATGGTCTGCTGCACTCCACTTTATCCTCAGAACAACAAACCTGTGGGTGGGTTAGGCTGAGAGTCAGTGTCTGGCCCAAAGTTGCCCAGTGAACTTCATGGCTGAATGGGGACTAGAACTTGGATCTGCCAGTCCAATGCACTAACCCTCATGCCACACTCATTCTCAGTTCAGAAGTTACATGCATCTACCATGGTTATGATAGGGTGGTGCCC